TCTTGGGCTCCTTACCTCAGGAAAGACATTGAATTGCTGGAAAGGGTTCAGAGAAGGGTTACCAGAATGTTGCCTAGGATGGAGGGATTGTCATACGAGGAGTGGTTGAATCAATTTGTTTTCTCTTAAAAAAAAGAAGAGATAGAGGGGATCTGATTGAGGTGTTTAAGATTGTTAAGGGAATCGATACTGTTGATGCATCATCTCTTTTCATATTCAACAGTGAGAATAGTAGAACTAGGGGACACAAATATAAATTTTGGCAAGGTAGGAGCCATCTTCAGCTAAGACAGTTTGATTTTTCTAAGAGGGTGGTTGGCGTTTGGAATGGGTTGCCTTCAGATGTTGTGGAGGCAGTAAATTTAAGTGAGTTTAAGAAGAAGCTTGATAAGTATATGAACGAAAAGGGTTGGATTTGAGATTGTTGGTTTTATTATTGGAATACTTTTGGTTTCATTTAGGAGATGTGGAAGCCTAAATGGAGCAATAGGTCCCATGCCCCTAAACATTGTTATCTTATTTATTCACAACAAATTCTTTCAGCTGTGTCAAAACTACATACTTGCTTAGTGAGGAAAACCAGACTAAAAAATTTGGTTCCAATTTTTGTGTAACATTTACTTGTTTAAAATCTCAGCCATTGAAGTTGCCAATCCATCAAAAATAAACTATTAGCTTTGCAATGGTTGACAGATTTTCAGTATTATAATTGAATTTAGTGAATGTAATCATAAATTTAAATTAGGAAGCATGGACTCCTATGTATTAAAAATTTGTTAAATTTGTCAAAAAGAAAAACTTGTTTTCAGAAGTACAATGTTTGTATGATATTACACTGTGAACTTGGCAGAAAAAATTGTATTTTTTGTTTCATGAAAATAACAGTGACTCTTACTTAGTGTTTGTAATAAAAATGTCATCATAATACTATTATTTCTCTAGAATTGGACTATGTTGAGAAAGCTTTATTTCAAAGAAAATCTCCACCAAAGACTTCCTTTCTTAGAAGTTCAGGTAATTTTATTGATACTACTAGTTTTCAGTTACAAGTCCTTTGTACTTTGAAAGTGTTCTTGAAATTAATACTGATATACAGTTATATAAGTCACCAGTTATTGTGGATAACTCTTGGAAAGTATACAAGTATGTTTGTTTTTTGTATTAGAATATCATTGTGAATTTGTGACCTATGTAGTCTAAGATCATGTTGCATGTGAACACTTGTACAGATATTACAAAAGCAATCACATGTAATTTATTGAATTTAACTTAATATGAATGATATACCTGGTGACATGTATAGTGTAAATATGCTGTATAATAAAAGCAGACAATTTGAAACAATTATAGTATGATCTTCTCCCTCAATATTGCTTTTATTTCTTCTTTTAAGACTTAGAATTCAATTACTTAATTCAGTTATATTTGGTTAAAGTTATGTAATTTGTATTTGGTCAGCAGATATTTTATGGTTTATCGATTACATGCATAAAACTTACAACTTTTATACCATTTATAATAGTTCTAAACCAAGTCAAGAACTTTTTACCCAAAATGGAGACAGCTCAAATGGAATTGAAAACAAAGACTAATGAAGAAGTTAACATAGAAAATGTGACCAGTTGCGATGGTTCAGTTATTGAAATGGTAGGTCATAACCTAAAACAAACATGATTTTATTGAGAGTAAAAAAACAAAATTGACTTAACCTACAGATAAAAAGACTGTTTGATCCTTCAAGGCTGTCCATGCATGTGCATCTAGGAAAAAAGTAAAATTTAAACTAATTTTTTTTTTCAGAAAATCATTAAACTCTTGAACTCTTAAAATTAAACTCTTGAAATTGTTGCTCTCCATGAGTGCTGATTGCCACTCATTCTATAAACTGATCACCCTGTTAGAAAAATAAAACTTTCTTAACTGGTCCCTAGTCTATCTTTTTCTATTCTTAACGTGTCCTCTCATCATTTTGTCAGAGTACAGTGCAAAGAAATAAGAAGCCTTTATCCTATCGATCCACCTAGATAATCCTTTGAACTTAAGTAAGATCATCTTTCTTTTTTTCAAGAGAAAATAAGCAGTTTTAACCTATCCATATGAGAAAACTTTTCAATCCCCAGAATAATTATAGAATCCCTCATCTGAACTCTTTTTCCAATTAGTCAATATCCTTTACTTGATAGGAGACCAAACAGGACTGTACGCAATGATTTGTATAGAGATAATTAACTCTTTTTCATTTGTAATTAGCAACTTAACGTTGATTACACTGTAAGTTGAAAGCAACGTAATGTTGATTACACTGTAAGTTGAAAGCAACGTAATGTTGATTACACTGTAAGTTGAAAGCAACGTAATGCTAATTACACAGTAAGTTGGAAACAACTGAATGTTAATTACACCAAAATTTGAAAGCAACTGAATGTTAATTACACCAAAAGTTGGAAACAACTTAATGTTGATTACACTGTAAGTTGAAAGCAACGTAATGTTGATTACACAGTAAGTTGGAAACAACTTAATGTCAATTACACTGTAAGTTGGAAACAACTTAATGTCAATTACACTGTAAGTTGGAAACAACTTAATGTTAATTACACTGTAAGTTGGAAACAACTTAATGTTAATTACACTGTAAGTTGGAAACAACTTAATGTTAATTACAC